CGAGATCGTCCGGCTTTGCAACTGATCCGGCCTCTTTCTTATTTCGACACTAACACAATATGGAGTCTCAACCAGTGAGCACATCCCCGGAGAAGAAGAGAGAAGGGTGTCGGCACAATTTATATACAGTTCAGATAATATCAAAGCGGTAACATTTAGCACATTACGCATGAAACATGTAGGAAAATCAGATATAGCCAAATATAACAATTTATCTAAGCTCGAATTCTGAACCTTGAACAAAATGTTCTGGCTTCTTATCCCCAACAGAGTCGCCAGAGCTGTCACACCTCATTTTTCCTACACCGCAAGGGCGTAAAGGCGTTTTTCCAATTAAAGGACAATTGGAACGGGATTTGGTTTTATTAATTATTCAAAGTCGCCACTTGGGAGATTAATGGTGTCCCAAGTCACCGGTTGAATTCCGAACCGAGGAAGAATATGACTCTGTTATAGTCTGCGAACCAGAAATCGGAGTAAGGAATTCTGTTAACCCGGGAGAAGGTGTTAGGCATTCCCGGGTTCCGTGGTTCTAGCACGGTCGCTTAACTGCTGCATTTGATTTTATCTGATTTTAATACATGCTAGCTTATGTGCCTTGTATTCGTAAACCGCTTTTTATCATTATTTATTTTAAAAGAATTGCGACGTCGTGAAAACGCGTTTCGAACCACGTCGCAATCAATGCCCCCGTGATTGTCGACACATTTCGACTTCATCGAGATTTGGATTTAGGTCGCATCAATGCGCACCCGTGTTTAAGGAAGTAATTTAGTTAAATCGCGCCTAAAGGTTCTAACGTAGTATTATTTTTAGGGAAGGCCATGAAATTCTCTAAACGGCTCTCCCAAATTCTAATTATTTTATAACCATTATTGAGGGCCCCGCAATTTTGTGTTTATTGGGCGAGGCTCGTATCATTTTATTTTAAGGGCAAACTTAGAAGCAACTATATTTTTCTACTTATTTGTCTCTAAAAATAAACAAAGAAAACTTAATTAACTAAAATATGGGCCAGACGTATTAGCCAGGAAACCAAGAGGGCCCAAACTTCAATATTTGCACATGGGTAGAATTTCTAATAAACATAGTCATTGGGCCTGAGATTGGCCCAAACTGGACAAACGTGTCCAGCTGTATCAATACGATCAGGGGATCGAATCCCTGGGCTAGCATACCATGCTTTTACCCACAAAAACCAACCAACATGCTCAATAGGCAGACAAGAGTCAACATAGGGCTCTAAAGAGGCCAGCATCTGATAACAGTAAGAGAAAAACTTGCAAACAAATTGCATACACTCACACATCCCCGATCTGTACACTTTGGTATATCCATACTGTTTCAAGGCTCCATGACAACTTCTCAGATCAAACAAACAGGACAATAACAAGCTTAACCAAATCTAATGAGCCATAACAAGTGACAACAAGAATCGTTTCAGTCATATGTTTGAAATAAACTCAAGATAAAAAATAAACTCATATGTTCATGAATCATATCTCAACCAAGAAGTAGTGTGAGAAATAAACCTTCACAAGACCATTCCAAAGCTTCCCATAAACCAAATGTACTCACTTATCAATCAATATTGCAAAATGAACTGAAGGCTCTTTGTGTTTTTAAAAACTACCACTGATACTTTCCTTGTATCCTGAAGTAAGTGGACAGTACACTAATGCATTTTTCAACAAGAAGGCAGATTTACTTTGAAAAAGAAATGATAGACAAGTAGGCATTTTCAAATATCATATGAAACTCTTGAGTGAATCACGACGGCCTGTCGATCCTTGAAAGGAGTAACACACAAGAAAAATAACAGCGGCGTCTGAAGGAGAGTCACAAAAATGAAACAAAGGCAGATTTTCTGCAGGCTAACAATCCAAACAAATATCCCACAATACTGCATATTTCAGCATGATTCATCGCTTGAATCAACTGTTTTTGGCAGTGCGAAAGAACGAAGTTCTTATAGCTGTAACAATGCAGATAGATTTCCAGCAAGAGAAGGCAAATAGCGCAAATCTGAGCATATACAAACAGCGACACAATTGAGCTTCGACCCCCTTTAGACAAACGCAAAGCTAAGCCAAACACAACAGGAATGAACCAAACCTTAAGAAGCTATTGCTAAAATTTAAATCAATTGTACTTGGATAGCCAAAGTTTAGACCAATTACTGCTTTAGAACAAGCATTGAATCGCTTATCTTCGAGCACTCGTAGCATGTCCTGGTAAATACCATTGACTGAGTAACACAACAACAACAAAAGACTACCAGTGTCAATTTCATTAGCTCATATTGCACTCGAGACGGGTGAGAAATTCTGTGACTCAATGAATCGACAAACAACAAATACGTCTCATCTAACAACCATAAAGTGGATTAGAAGTTTAGCCATTCATGTAAAAATCTAGCAAGCGCAACGGATTCACATTTGCACATAGAAAACTAATACCTCTTCTCAAACAAAACATAGAGCTGAATAATCTATAACTCAACTAAACCGGCAGAAATGGTCGAACAAGAAAGCTTCAACCCTTAAGGTTTCATGAATTTGTTCCCATCCTTAAATTTAACAAACGAGTGGGACGACTTCATACAGCTGCAGCTATTATACCAGNGGACAACTTCATACAGCTGCAGCCATTATACCAATGCATACAATCGCTCGCCCAATATAGAATAAACACACACNAATCGCTCGCCCAATACAGAATAAACACACACAAAGAACAACCAGAAACAAACCTGAACCAAGGCCAACATGACTCAGCTTTTAATTCAAACAACCAAACACTGACTTTCAGGCAGTCTTAGATTGAAAACATAACAGAACATGAGCGCACGACACAGAATCAAGGAAGAAAAATATAAATGAAGAAGAAATGAACCTGGAATCAATAAATACTTCCGATCAACTTTGCTCGAATGTTGAATACAAATGAAATACTATAGCTAATATCAGCACAACCATCAACAGAATCGAGTAGAAATCAGAAACACGGACAACAACAAACTCAGCGACTCTCAATCGAGCACCATTTTCAAACCACCTCCAACCCAGAAGGAAAGGACGGAATATATATTTTGATTTTTGTTTTGGAAAGTAATTAAAAAAAAAAAGAATCAAAGAATCATGAACATTTTTATATCTCTTTTCTTATTGTCAAACTCAACTCAAATTTCAGTATAGAAGAAGAAGTAAGACTATTTTCAAAACTCAATCTCCTCCAAAATTCTTCCCCCCGAACCCAAAAATCCCCCTCATTTCTGAAAAACCTCACCTTATATAGTCTTTGTAGCTCTTCTCGAACCTTCTCCACAGACCCCTCCGAAATTCTTTGCAATTTGCTTTCTATGAATGATTTTTTGGACAAATGGAGGGCAAGGATTGATTTTCATCCATCCATGACCCCCATTTATCCAGCGAGTCGATCCGGAGCTAAACAACGCTCAAAAATCTCTGAATGGAATCTTCTATATGTCAGAAACCGTTACACTATGGTGACGAGGAGAGAGGAGGAACGCGTGGTGTGAGGTTTGATGTTCACTCGCCATGGATTTTGCCTGAATTTGGGGCTTGGTTTGAATGTTCTTTGGGAGAAGAAGAACAGTCGGGCGCGTCGTTTGGGTCTTGGAGATTAGGGACTTAGGCATTATTCTCTTTTAATTCGGAGTGGGTCGGGTTTAAGGGGAAGACTTTGGGCTTGGGTTTGGGGCTTGAAAGAATTAGCCCAAAATGGGTCTCTTATTAAGAGGACCAAAATTCTTTTTTAATTTCTTCTCTTTTCTTTTCAAATTAAAATAAAAACCTAATTTAACTCTTAAAAACTAAATTGACCTATCAAATTATATTAAGCTCTAATTAATAATCGACACAATTAATTAAATACCAAATTAGAAGAAAACTAGCGAAACTCAAAGCTAAGAATTAAGCAATGCACAAATAAATTATTTTTTGTGATTTTTCTAATTTGTAAAAACCCTAATTATTAATTAATCTAAAAATATGTGAAACTAAGTCCTAAATGCGGATGCAATGTATATTTTGGTATTTTCATTAGTTAAAACAATGCAAAGACAAAAATGCAAACAATTAATGGAAAACGTCACAAAAATTCGCAAAATTGCAAACACTGAAAGAAGTTATTTTGTTTTGAATTTCTAGGAGTAATTCATATAGGGCAAAAATCACGTGCTCACAATCCTGAACACATTTTATTCGACATTTTGGGATTCGACTTGGGTCGCATGAAATGTACACCCGAGTTTAAGGAGGTGACTTTTTTTAAAATCGCGCCTACAGTGACTAGCGCGTTGTTATTTTGGGGAAGGCCGTGAAATTTGCTAAACGGCCCATCCCGAAATCTAAGTAATTATTATAACCATTTATTGAGGGCCCCGCGATGTATGTACTTTGTTCGGCGAGGCTCATCTCGTTTATTGTTTTGAAAAAAAGGTAAACCTGAAAGTGACTATCATTTTCTATATTTTTGTCTCTAATAATAAAGAAAAATCCTAATCAATTAACATTAAAAGTTCAGACTTCAAGTTCAAGTCCGGGTCCAAACAAAAGGAAATACCTTCTAGTTTGAACCTGCTACCTAACTTAAAATCCGCCGCCTGCCGTTTTAAATATTAACAAACCAACTACCATTTTGATCTAATTCAAACTTAGCTTTATTAGATGAATTGGACTATTGGAATTAACTATGTGTAATACAAAGCCATTTTTTGAACTCTTTTTACGACTTGTTAAAAAATGCATCAATGCTTAAAAACTAACATCAAGCTAATGTTAATCACTAACATTTGAGAACTAACATTAGTTACTAACATTATTCAAATTGCTATTTAAAATGATATTATTTACTCAAGTGAACTCGCAATTTCAGAACTAGACATATTAAACCAACATGCTGATTTCCATTTGAACTTATTTGAACCTGTTTTGTGACATATAAACTATTTGAAACTATTTTATGACTACTGGAAACAAATTAAATACACTATATTTTATAACTATTGATCACACACTAAAATTAATTACAATTGATATTCACATGTTTGTAGAAATAGATTCAACAATCCAGCTACAGTCCATAGAATTAAAACAATCTAAGGCTACCTGAAATCAATCCTAATTATACAAGCCTTATGTTTATTATTCATAATTAAAGACCAAAACTACCTTAACATTTCATATTCTCATCAGTACAGAATTACATCAACACAAGACCATACAAGGATTTGGAAAACTATATCAAACTCATTTTTCCATCATATTTCATTATCAACTGATGATGTCACATTGAATCAGGTTTAAAATGTGTACCCTGATAATGGAAATAGGAGAAGAAGAAGAAGTAGTCAGCAGCAGCAGTAATACCAGCAATACAACAGATAACCAACCAGCAAATTCCCATAGCAACAACCAATCAAGTTCAATACCCAGGACAGTTCGAAAACCAAACAGAGCAGATAGAACAGCCTCAACAGAATACCAAAAACTCAAGAATGAACCCAAGGTACTGAAGTTAAACAATCAACTGATCCACCAACTGTCTCAAACCAAACAGACTCCAAACAAAATGAGCTGAGGAACTGAATTTAAACCCAAAAACTTGAAAGGTAATGAACAGTGTCAATGGAACAATATTCTCAATAAAGCTCTCTGAAGACTGCCTCAAAACTGATTAAAGGCTTTCACGTTTTTAAACTCTCAAATCTGACTTTTTTCAGGATTCAAAAGCCAGCCTTTTTAATTCTCTCTACAAAACTAATTTTTTAAGATTGAAGAAAAAATGCTCTCTCCGACTGATCCCTAAGATTGATTAAAGACCCCCTTAAAGATTGAATCCTTAGCTCTTAAAGTGCTGTCGAAAGAACTCTCCAAGGAAAACTGAATGATGCCTTACCTCTCTATTTCACTAACACTGATTTTTGGATCCCCCTTAACTCTTTCCAATATCCTCTCATTTATAGCCAAACTTTATTAACTTTCCAGCTCTTAGGAGCATTAAGCTAATTAAGAAAGTATTTCTGCCCATCATATTCCTCAACCACTACTACATGTTTTGTTCTCTTTTTAATTCACTTGTTCCCCACTACCCTTGTTTTTTCTTTATTTAATTCAATGGTTATGGGTAGTATATTGTTTAATCAATCCCTTTAAACCTCCTTATTATGTTTTGTTCCCCACTATATTAAACAAAATGCATTAATTTAATGACACATTAGTGCTTATTGACATAGCACTCAACTAAACCAATTCTTCAAGTTTTAAATTCCCAAATTACCCTCCTGATATCCCTAAAACTACTGTCCTATCCCAATCCCCTTTCACTCTATGCTAAACCATATCAGCTATAACCAATTATCCTAATCAATTAACTAAACTACAACAACTATAACTAATTCAATTCATGTCCAAGAAATTTAACTTAAAACACATCTAACATAAGAAATATATATAACATAGAATCACAGTAAAATAAGACAACACCAGCTCATATAACAACAATTTATGAACTATTTATGCAGCAAAGCATCGAAAAAGCAATCGAAAACAAAAAAAGTTAGATATTAGAAATAGGAAAACACAAACAGGAATCAGGTAAGATTAATAAAGAGAAATGGACCTCAAATGATTGGAACCTGGATACACAAAACTCGAACGAACCACTAGCAGAAGGTTTCCTTGTAAACGAGCCCCTAATGAAGAGCCACTGGTACACGTAGAAAGAAGTCAGATCAAGCCTGTGTAAGTTTCTGTGCTGAGCGAAGCCTGACCACCTCGAGAATTTCTATTTGAGATGAGGGAGGCTGCTTGTCTGCTAGGTTGTCGTTTGGAGGAGAGGTGAAGCGGCATACCATAGTAGCTGGTGGTCGCTGGTGGTCAACTGGTTGTTGGAGGTGGAATGGTGACTGGTTCATGCTGGTGGTTAACGACGGAGGAGATGGGTGGCCGTTTGGGACGTGAAGGAGAAAACGACGAAGCAGGTGGAGATGGCAGCGAGGGTGGTGGTCACTGGTCGTGGGTGACGACTGGTGGCCGTTTGGGACGTGAAGGAGAAGAAGACGAAGCAGGTGGAGATGGTTATGGCTGTTTAGGGTTTTAGGTTTTTGGTTATTGTTCCAATGGAGAAGGAGATCAAGTGTTATGTGTTCAAAATGTGTCTGAAGGGTCTTCAAAATCTAAGGTCTCGGTTGAACACCCTAGTAGTGTATTTATAGGTATTACGTCTAAGGTTTATGTTTGTGTATTTTCCAATTAGTCCTTAGGTCATTTCGTGTTAAGTCCTTAGGGTCTTGTTATTTATTTATTTTGCCCTAAAGAAAGAGTCTAGAAGGGTCCCTAGACTACACAAATGCCTTTTATAATAAGATAGAAATACTACACCACATAACACTAATCCTAATTAATTAAGCTGAACATGAAACTATTTTTTTTGTATTTTCAAAATTATATAAAGATAAAAAATAAGGTACTATTTTTTGTATTTTTTAAAGATTATATTAAAATAAAAATAGGTTCAAAGGAACATATCCTTCTAAAAATATCTAATACATGATTAAAATAGAGTAATATGCAACAATTTTTGTATTTTCAATTTTGTGATAAAACTAATGTAAAAGAGTCAAAATTAGTTGAAATAACTATATTAGGCCTAAATTAAATATTTACACGCTAAAATATGAAAAGTCTTGGGGAGGGTCAAAAATCACACGTCTACAATTGGTCGATCAGAACCACCAGGGCCCAGAGAGCTTCGGGGTAGCAAGGCTTAACAAAGCACCATGCATCGCATTTTACTTTTTACTAGTTGATTTTTCTTTCCGCACTGTCTTTAATTTTGAAAAGAGCTCCGATGTTCCAAACAATTATGAATTTAATCAAAGCATTTTCAGTTTATTATATATTTCGCTCTTATTATTTTCCTCTATCATTTACTTTATTTACACAACATTACTATTACCTATATTGATGATGAACCAACGACTGTGACTTACAATGAGACAACGCAACAAACGGATATAGATTCAGAAGAGGATGATATACCTGAAGAGGTTGTCATAGAGGTCGAGATTTTGAGAATAGGCCTAAGTCAAACTTGGATAAGACTGAGGTCATTAATTTAGGAGATACAGAGAACGTCAAGAAAACGCGTATCAGTGTGCACTTGTCGCCATCAGAAAAGGAAGAGTACACAGAGTTCTTAAAAGAATATGAAGACATATTTGCCTGGTCGTATGATGATATGACTGGTCTCAGTACATCCATCGTAGCTCACAAACTTCCAATAGATCCAACATGTCCACCGGTAAAACAGAAGCTGAGAAAGTTCAAACCCGACATGAGTTTGAAAATCAAAAAAGAGGTTACCAAGCAGGTCAAAGCCAGGGTTCTCAAAGTGGTAGAGTATCTGACATGGTTAGCCAACATCGTGCCAGTACCGAAGAAAGATGGGAAGGTTAGAGTCTGTGTCGACTACCGAGATCTCAATCGGGCTAGTCCCAAAGACGACTTTCCCTTGCCGAACATACACATTTTTATTGACAACTGCTCCAAGCATGAACTGCAGTCTTTTATCGATTATTTTGCCGGATACCATCAAATATGGATGGATGAAGAAGATGCAGAGAAAATGGCATTTATCACGCCATGGGGGATGTATTGTTATAGAATGATTCCATTTGGTTTGAAGAATGCCGGTGCCACTTATATGAGGGCCATGACTACTATCTTTCACGACATGATACATAAAGAAATCGAGGTATTTATGGATGACATTATCATCAAATCCAAGAAAGCCATAGGTCACATGGAAGACTTGAGGAAATTTTTCAACCGACTGAGAAGGTACAATCTGAAATTCAATCCCGCCAAGTGTGCATTCGGGGTTCCTGCTAGAAAATTACTGGGTTTCATCATGAGTCGCCGAGGAATAGAATTGGATCCGTCAAAGGTTAAGGCCATTCAAGAGTTGTCACCGTCAAAGAACAAGAAAGATGTGATGAGTTTTCTGGGAAAGCTCAACTATATCAGCCAGTTCATAGGTCAATCCACTGGTCCTGGTTCCGTCCGAACCGGGGAGACCTCTATTGCTTTACCTTGCAGTATTGGATGGAGCATTCGGTTGTGTTTTGGGACAACATGATGAAACGGGGAGAAAAGAGCAGGCCATATACTATCTCAGCAAGAAGTTCACCCCGTACGAGGCCCGATATTCCTTATTAGAGCGCATATGTTATGCTCTGACTTGGGTGTCTCAGAAGTTGAGGCATTATTTCTGCGCTTACACTACTTATCTTATATCCATAATGGACCCGCTAAAGTATATCTTCCAGAAGCCCATGCCCACTGGCAAACTCGCCAAGTGGCAAATCCTACTAAGTGAATTCGACATTATCTACATAACTCAGAAGGCAGTCAAGGGACAAGCCTTAGCGGATCATCTCGCCAAGAATCCCGTGGGAGGAGAATACGAGCCACTTAAGACGTATTTTCCCGACGAAGAGGTATCTTTCATAGGAGAAGACATTGTAGAATCCTAAGATGGTTAGAGGATGTTTTTCGATAGAGCCGCAAATTTCAAAGGAGTTGGCATAGGAGCAGTCCTAGTATCAGAAACCGGTCAGCATTACCCGGTATCTGCCAAACTCAGATTCCCATGCACTAACAACATGGCCGAATATGAAGCCTGCATCTTGGGGCTCAAACTGGCCATTGATATGAACATTCAAGAGTTACTAGTGATCGGAGATTCAGACCTGCCCATACATCAGGTTCGAGAGGAATGGGCAACCAAGAACTCCAAGATACTCCCTTATCTGCATCACATACAGGAGCTGCGGAAGAGATTTACAAAGACAGAATTCCAGCATGTCCCCAAAATACATAACGAGTTCGCTAATGCATTAGCTACTTTATCATCCATGATTTAGCATCCAGATACAAACTTCATCGATCCCATTCAAGTAAAGATTCAGGATCAACCAGCTTATTGTGCTCACATTGAGAAGAAGCAGATGGAAAACCATAGTTCCATGACATCAAAGAGTACTTGACAATAGGAGAATACCCAGAGCTTTCCAATGCTACTCAGAAGCGTACCCTTCGGAGGTTATCTAACAACTTCTTTCACAATGGAGGAATCCTGTACAGGAGGACTCCCGATTTGGGATTATTGTCGTGTGTTGAGGCAAAAGAAGCATCCAGACTATTGGACGAAGTGCATGCGGGGACCTGTGGACGGCACATAAACAGTTTTGTCTTAGCAAAGAAGATACTCTGAGCTGGGTATTTTTGGATGACTATGGAAACGGACTACATCCAGTATGTCTAAAATTGTCATCGCTGTCAGATACATGCAGACATGATAAAGGTTCCTCCGAATTAGCTTACTGCAACAAGCTCACCATGGCCATTCGCCGCTTGGGGAATGGATGTTATCGGATCTATCGAGCCTGCCGCATCAAACGGGCACATGTTCATCTTAGTGGCGATTGATTACTTTACCAAATGGGTCGAGGCAACGTCATACAAAGCAGTGACCAAGAAAGTTGTGGCAGATTTCGTCCGCGACCGCCTTGTTTGCCGGTTTGAAATTTTGGAATCAATCATCACTGATAATATTTCCAATCTCAATAGCGACCTGATGAAAGAAATGTGTGAGACATTCAAGATCAAACACAAGAACTCTACAGCCTACAGACCTCAGATGAATGGAGCTGTAGAGGCAGCCAACAAGAATATCAAGAAGATACTAAGAAAGATAATCGAAAGGCATAAGCAATGGCATGAGAAGTTGTAATTTGCCTTATTGGGATACCGCACCACGGTCCGCACATCAACCGGGGCTACTCCTTACATGTTGGTTTATGGTACAGAGGCAGTCATTCCCGCCGACGTAGAAACTCCCTCTTTAATAGTCATACAGGAAGCAGAATTAGATGATGCAGAATGGGTGAAGGGTCGTTACGAGCAGTTAGCCCTTATAGATGGGAAAAGGATGAATGCAGTTTGCCATGGTCAATTGTATCAGAACAGAATGTCCAAAGCCTTCAACAAAAGAGTTAAGCCAAGGAAGTTTACACCGGGGCAACTGGTGTTGAATAAAATATTCTCACATCAAGACGAAGCCAAAGGAAAGTTCTCTCCCAATTGGCAGGGTCCGTACATGGTCCACCGGGTTCTAACTGGAGGAGCTCTTATTCTTGCAGAAATGGACGAAGAAGTCTGGCCGAAGCCAATCAATTCAGATGTAGTAAACGATACTATGTGTAATCAATTATGGTTTCTGTGTGTTGTAATCTGAACTACGCCTAACCTGATTCCCGTTTAAGAGGGGATACGTAGGCAGCCCTATGGGTTCGGTCACAATTAATAAAATCCCATTTTCCCCGCTATTGGAACCGGGGCAGAATTTTGAGGAGGACCCTCAAAATTCTAAAGTCAGTTTTCAGCATTTTTATCACCAGAAGTACCAACCCAGTAACTGGGGCAGAATTTTGAGGGGGCCTCAAAATTCCGAAGATGATTTTCAGTCGTTCAGCGCAGCCGTCAGAAGTGTCAGCCTAGTAAACTGGGGTAGAATTTTGAGGAGGACCCTCAAAATTCTGGAGTAAGAGAGGTTGCTATGTCTTGGACCACGTTGCAGTCGTTGTCTCATTCAAAGAAAATTATTTTCGATTATATACTTATGTTATATTTACTAAATCATGCATAGCTATCATTTGAATCGCTGTCGTTTAGCAACGCTACCCCAATGATATGCAATGTTAGGAGTCAGGGGATACGAACTAACCTTCCCCCTCTACAGAACTTATGATTTTTCTTTGGATGCAGGCACCCAAGTCACAAATCATGCAATCGTACTTTTCAGTAATGAAATTTTCAGAACGATCGCTTATTCACAAATCGCTATCCGCACATGACATCTCCAGCAGTCACGATGTCATAATCGACTATCAGCTAAGAGGTCTTACTACTATTTGCCCTTTTACATTCTTGCACTACATAAGGCTAATTATCTGCCTTCCGAGACTAAGCTCTGTCTCCATCCTGCATCATCTGCATAAGGCTACTTATCTTCCTTCCGAGACTAAGCTCTGTCTCCATTCTGCATAAGGCTATTTATCTGCCTTCCGAGACTAAGCTCTGTCTCCATCCTGCATCATCTGCATAA